AAATTAGTATTTGTGACCTACAATGATAGTAATAATGTGCCACCCAATTAGACAAAGCAAGTACTGTTTACTTATTATTATTAAAGAATAATTATTATTAGTGTTACAAAGGTTATTGTTATTTAATTTTTATAAAACAAAATTTAGAAACAAAAAGAAATAATGTAGTTGTAAATAAAAATAGAAGTGAAGCAGTTTTATGAAGAAAGCGCAATAAACAAGGTGCTTATTCCAGTATAGCACAGAAATTTTACTGCAACAAATCATATTGGCGTTTGCAAAAAATTTTCGGTTATGAGCAAATTAATGTCTTAAATTAATGTTTTAAAATTCACTTTTACATATCCATGCATTATTTTGCAAAAATGTTATTACATTCATGGAAATAAACTATAATTCCGAGTGATTAACAGCTTCTCAGTTGAGTGCATAAATAAAGAAAAATCTATAAATGCTCTCAAATTACAAAAATTTCCAAACGTTTTGCTTCTTTCATGAAGTGAAACAGAAAGAAAGCACGCTAAACAAAAATTTGAATTGTAAAAGTAATACAGTGCTAAAAATAGTAACGGAAACAATAAATGTATGATTTATTCTTTGTTTGCACTAATTAGTAATCTAAATAAATCAAACAGTAAAAAATTGAAATAATTTTTAATTTTGAATAGATTTACCTAAACAATTAAAAATAATATTAGAAAATGTTAACTCTTCATTTCAAAGCTAAACTGAATAAATACGTGGTAAGTGTCATGCAAAGCAGTTTCGAAGTCGAGTGATCTGCAAATCTAAGCAGACTATCTGAGGAAATTTTTTCCGATACACAAAACAAGAATATTCTTTTATTTTGATCTATTCACATAGAATGAGACGTTCTTTTTTCATTTCATATATACCCAATAACATTTCAAATTAACACCATCAAATTAAATCATAGATTTTTGTGATAAAAAATTACTTTTTATGAATTAAACTTTTCAAATCAAACAATCTAAAAAGAATTAGCGTATAAAATATTGCTGCTTCTGAAAAGCATTTTGATAATCTTAACAAATATATTATGATTAGCAATAAATAAGAAAGCGAATTTTATTTTAATTTATATTTAAATATTACTACAAAATTGTGATAATAATGTAATTTAAATGTGCTGAAACTTGAAATGTGCAAGAATGAATCCAGTCTTTTACAAATAAGTTGTTACTTGTTGACAACAAAATTTAAAAGGAAAAAAAAAGATATTTGTTGTTTAAATACAACTGAATTATTTTTTTAATTGTGTATGGAAGGTTAAATGCATTTTTTTTACATCTCTCAATTGCTTTAATTTTAATATGCCACTCATTCATTGTTATTCGTTGTACTTTCTGAAAAATAACACAAAAAATATCGAAAGCAAAGCACTTAAAAGCAAAAATTAAACAGTCAGCAGTTAACAGTAAATTCAAGTGAAGCAATCATTTTTTGTTGCATAATAGTACTGAAGAGTGAAGTCATAACATTCAAGACAGAATATATGGTCTGAGATATATGAAAATATGCTTAAATTTTTCAATAGACTTAAAATAAATTATGCAGCAAATATTTTTTTAATAATTTGCTACAACTTATAATGCTTAATTTTAATTCTGCAAGCATAAAAAAGTAGTGCATGAATAGAATGATGAAAATTAGCTAAACAGAAGTAAGAACGAAATCAAAAATTAATTTAGACAAGGCAAAAAATTTTAGCGAGTCAATGTCAGACATAAATTCAATAAACAACTTTTTTGTCACTAATTTCTTAGGAATGCAAATATTATTTTTTTTAAACAATGATTCTTAATAGTAATTACTGCAGTAACTGTCAGCACTAACTTATTCAAGAACAAATTTATTTTATCAAGTATAATTTCTGCAAGATGTTGTTGTTGTTGTTTTTTTAAGCCACAATGTTTATAACTGTAAACGTATTCATGATTCTGGAGGAAATAAGTCATGATTTATTGTCATTTGACCTATATTGATTTAAAAATAAAGAGCATAAGACGAGATTGTTGAGATTATCAAAAAATGAAGTCTACTAACATTGTGCTTTGAACTGTCAATCTCTGATGAAAAAAAACATGCGCAGAATTTGGAATAATATATTTCATTGTTTTAGCACTGCATGAATCATACGATGTCATTATTGTAGTTGACATCTATCTTTTGAAAACATAGTTTATATTTGTATTTTGAAACTTGTGACTATCTTAACAATTTTGAAGTGAAAAACTTGACCTTTTCTAGTTTTTATTTTATCTACTTCAATCTGTGTCATATTTTAAATTCAAAAATGAGCAAATGCTTAATTTGAAATGCAAATTTTTCCGTGCTCTGACAGCTCTAAATGAAAGCCTGGTTTTCTGAAAGATGTTGACAAGTCATTCAGATAGTGAATAGGCGTAGCAAAAACGTAAACATTCCATTATAGTCATTTTCTTCCTTCTTGAAAAAATTCTTGGTTTTTTATTTGTGGATCTGGATTTTACTTCTAAAAATTTTTAAATAATAAATATTGTAATATTTTTACAAATAAATTTATAACTAAGTTCCTTTACCAATTAAGCAATTAAGCTATTTGGGTATAATGTATTTGGGTATAATTTATTTTTTAAGTTTCAACCGAAATTTCTGAAATCTCAACAATTTTTCTGCTCAAATAATTCTGTGAAGAATTGATGCTCAATGTAACAATCAAACGAATGTCACTGTTTTTTACTATTCTTCAATTGCTAATTTGAATCTCAGGCAAATTGTATAACCAGATTACAAAACCGTTTGATTGTTACATTGAGTATTAGTTTTGATCAACAATACTAAAAACAACTCGAACTCAGATTGTGTGTACAGTAGCATTTTTTTAAAACTCATTCTTTCTCGCATTTCTGTATGTTTTCCTGTTTAAAATAAAAGATGAAATTTTGACCAACAATGCTAAAAAATGATTTACGACAAAAACATTTTCTTAAATAACTTTAAGCAAGTTTTTCTGACCGTTTGCAAATGTCAATCTATATAATAATGCCGTATAAAAACACAAAGTTTGCATGATTGTATTAAGCTTAATAACTGCTTGAATTACTGCCTAATCATATATTCAGATTAATACTTTAAAAAATAAAGTCCAATAAATATGAGCAACAAAAGAAGTTGGTAATTTTTCAATTACTTGTTGGTTCTATCTAAGAATACAAAAAAGCATACAGTTCGAAGATTTGTTTTAAAGTTTGTAAGAAATGCTTATTTCAAATGAAATTAATTCGATAAAGTGATAAAGTTTGCAACAAATTAATGTATTTGATAATAAATTCAATAAATATTACTGTTAGCTTTTTCTGGCAATTACAATTCTTTTTTTTTTTGCATTTAGGACTTTTTGGTTTTTTTTTAAATTTTATACTGGCAAATTACATAATAAAAAGCCATTTTTATGAATATTTATTTATAACTTTCTTTTTTCATTTTGCGACCAAACCAAATGCATTAATAGATTAAAAAATTTAATTTCTTTTATAAAAATGATTTCTGACCATTTTGCTTTATTTAACTTTTAGTCTATTCATTTTCATTATTCCATAAAGAATATGTTTACTTGAACTGGCTCATATATGCACATATAAAAGCAAAGAAATATCAGGTAATCACAAGCATTATTCTCTTAACAAATTAGACATTTGATAACTTTCCAAAGAAGCATTTCTTTAGAAATGAAATACAATTTCAAGAAACTCACCCTTCCACTTTTTTCCCTTCATATTATGAATCAATTCAAGTAAATTTATATATATTCTATGAGTTTGATCAAACTGCATTGTTATGTCTGAAATTTACTGCGTATATTTCATGTATCTTATAAAGTCTTTAATAACTTCTGGTGATAGTAAATTTAGTGCTATAATAGATACTTTTTTTTCTTTTATATACTTTTTATAATTATTCAAACCAGACAGTCTCAGTTTTTCTGACAGAATACAAATTAAAAATTGTTTGTAATTTTGAATAGAAATTTAGGCTAAAATTCAGAAATGAAAAAGGTCTTAATTTTTTTAAATTATTATTATCAGAAAGAAGCCAAAATAAAGTGAAAAAAGTTTCCATGACGAATAAATTTTTTCTTTTATTCAGTATTCAATAGAAAGATTTTTTTTTTTATAAATTAGGCAATACTTTTAATTCAGAATTTCAAATTGAAAATGACACAAGCAAGCAGTGGTTTTTAGATTATTTTATAACTATTAGAAAAAAACTTTGTTTGCACTTTTATTTTCTAGAAAATGTATTTCAGACAGTTTTTATGTAGTAATTATGATGTACAAAGGTAAAATGTAAAAAAAAGCTAATAATTTTTATTATTACAAACAAATAAGCATACATTCGCACTTGTTAAATGAAAGTTTTAATTTAAAATTTTTGTGCACAAATTTTTATCATAAATCATACAATTTTCATTCGAAATATTTTTTGATGAAGTATTATTTATCAAAATATTCTAAAGATTTAATTAGAATAAATAATTATTTTGCGCAAATAAAAAATTGAAAGCAGAATATAAAGCATAGCATAGAATGATTTTCTATGAAATGTTCAGAACTTAGTTTTCAGTGTTGTGAATATTACAAGAAAAAATTATTTTTCCAGAAAACTTGTGATTTTCTCTTCAGTTTTACGCATAAAGAAAATATTTCTTGCTTGTCAGTCATTATAGATTTATGCTTTTCTAGCCTTAACAATTTAAATTCAGTTAGGGTTTAAATTTTCAAAACTTTTGAAAAAATTTTATGTTAATTATAAATTTTCTAATTAGAACAATGAAATTATAATTGTGAAAATAGCGAATCAAATTTTAAATTAATAACTGCAATATAAGTTAACTCTTACTTTCTGATAAAACTGAATAACTTCAATAAAGTGAAAAAATACTTTGAGAATAACTTTCTGAGTTTGAAGGATTAAAAATCAAATTCATTCCTATCAATATGAATCGGTGTGATAGTAATGTAAGCAATATAAAAAAGTTAGTTATTTGAAGCATCATAAAACTTTTCGAATTGCTTAGAATTAAAGGTTGTCAACTACAAGGTATTACACTTTTTAATCTTAGTAATATGAGGCAATTTTTTGTAAATAATGCTCCAAAAATATATTTTTTCCTTTATAGCCGATGTTATATTCTTGAGCAATCAGAGAGTCCGAGAAGATAACTGCTGGTATTTATCAAAATTTAGAAGGAGCCAAAATGAATAACAATCTAAAAATTGGTGAAGTGAGATGGACTCCTAAACAGTTAATGTTTACAGTCTCTTTTGTGAAATCAGTGGCACATCACGATGATGATGATGATGATGATGAGGAGGAGGAGCATGAGGAGAATGGCAATGAATGGTGTTAATGATGATAATAATAAAGATGATGAGGATACTGTGTAATATATAGGAGTGCATATTATCCTCGTTATCATTAAAACATAAATCAGTGATGATTGTATTGTTCTGCTCACTGTGAGGGAAACATTATTTTTGCAAGTCTCCTTCCTCCTTCAGTGGTACTTTCTGAAATGAATGATTTGTTGAGAAGTTGGTTTGAAATTCTTGAAAGTCATTCATTAATTTATAATTGTTCTTCGTATAACTTTGTTTTATCCTTAAACATTAGTTTTTTTAAAATATTTATTCAAATATCATCAAATTCAGGGATGATTAATTGGCTGTAACTCCTAAAAACTACCCAAATTTCCAAATATCTTTTGAAAGTTGTAACAATAGCATTATTAAAATAACTTACATTAATATTGCTTAAAAGCTCATTTCCCTTTCATTCTTCATCGTCACCCTTGCAGCTATTCATGTCAATTGCTATTGCATTACACTCATTTGTATCCAATTTTCCTGTCCCTTCAGTAATTTCACAAAATTGCATTTTAAAAAATGTACTCTTTTATTGCTAATATAATGCAATAAAAGTAGGACTTTATATCCTAAAAAATAATTCCCATTTCTAGTAAATGAAATTTCATTTTAGAATATTCAGCATTTTTTGTCTTCAGTTATCATGAAAAACCCTCAAATGACACTTTTTCCACATTTCTCCATCTGAACAAACGTTATCTTTAACAGACATCATTTTCAGCAAGCGTCATATTCATAATGTACACAAAAATTATGTTTATAAATGTAACTGATTGCAATTTCAAAAAAAAAAGTGTGCTAAATTTTATATTTTATAATACAGTAAATGAAAACAGTACTCAGCTACTACGGTTTTGATATAATACTTGACACACTTTACTAAACAATTATTATAACAAAATTATGGTTGAAACTTTTGAATTAATTTATTGAAAAAACTTTTCCCTTTTTGACTGTGAACCGTAAACATGTGAATGAATTTCTTCGAGTCATGAAACCTTGAATGTTCTCGTCAAGATAAAAATTATGATTTATACATTTTTCAAAGAAATGATACTGGCAACTCAGATTATGGAGGTATTATTTTGATAAATTCATACTTTCTGTATAGCTTTACAAAAATTTTTTTAAATTCGTATATGCAATTAGACCTGTAAAATTCATGCCTGAGCGAGAAAGAGCAGTTGCTAGGATCCTTAGCAATTATTAGTTTGCTTATATACTTCTCTAACGGTCACTGTGATTGGCACAGATTTATAGAACTATAATTTTTATCTAATCACTGATCAAAGTAGTTTTTATGAAGAAATAATAATTAATAAAATAATTTGATGCATTATGGTTTTTATGAATTATTTTTAAGAGAAGTAAATTTAATATCAACTGTACTCGATAAAGTAAATAAGAAAATCATGACATAATAAACTTTTAGTGCTAAATCTTGTGATACAAGATTCGGAATACTCCATTCAACAGATCTTTAATCTGACAATGCACACACAGTTTAAAAAAATCAAGAAATAATAAACTTGAAAATTAATTTTTTCGTACTTTTGGTTATGTTTGAAGTGCTTTAAAAATAAACTGTAAAAACATTCGAAGATATAACTTTGTCATCACAAAGGGTATCTGTCACAAATTTGAATAAAAAGTTAGAGATTACAGATTTTCTTCCTTTTGTTTTCATTCTATTTGAGATAAGTTTCTCAATTTTTACTTGAAGCTTCAACTTTGATTTGTATTTTGCACAAGCTTCCAAAGAAGGAAGCACTATTTTTGCACAAGCTTCAATCACTTCAAGCTATTTATACTAATCAAGGATAAAGGACAGTGTTTTATGTAGAATATCCAAAACTTTTGTTCATCATTATGTTAAGATCTGTTAATAGTGATTTCCTTGCAACGATAATTCTGAATAATCATAAATGCTATCAGTTTTCTGATCTAAATATAATTACGATGTCAAGTACGGCAATATCATGTATTTTTGGTGTAGTTGCTTGACTGTAATTACTTGATTTGAATTTGGCCTGATATTTAGATTGAAAGATTTTGTTAGTTTAAATGATTTGCTTTTACTAAAAAATGATTTTTGTGAATATTCATTCATTGTGAATGCTGTCAAATGCTTAAATCCTTCCATTGTTTTTTGGATAAAAAAATTATATCCTTTTCTTTCTAGAACAGCATGCTTCTTCCATTTATACTTTTGAAATCTGTTAACTAACATCAATTTTCTGCCCTTTCTATTTGTCTTATTTTTTATTTTAAAAAGTTTATTGTAAAAATTTTTTTCATTTTATAATAACAGTTGTATTAATTTATTTTTATCATGCTTATGATATGCAATTTATTTATTTCTGTATACAAAATAGATCAACTACTTTTTAGTATTATTTGTATTCCACTTGGTACTCCAAAAGTTTCAATGAAAATATGTTTTATTTTCATCAAAAAGCATGACATGTGGAATAAAAATATTTATTTTTATTACCTTTTAAATATTATCTCAACTTTTAGAATGGCCATTTAAAGTTGATATTTATTTCAGTGATATGTTTATACTCTGAAAGTAGTGATTATATTATTGTTTTCATTATATTTTCTCTGAGAGCCTCACAATTACATTATAATGTGAGTGATGTCTGATTATATGCGTATGGATTTAATAAAATTTCGCTTTTTCGATGCAAAATTTTTTCAAAAATTGTTTATTTAGCTAACTAAATTGTAATTTACGACTTTTGTATCGTTCGCATGACAATCAAAACTGTTAAAAATATTTTTTTTTAACAAATAAATAATGGAGCTAAATTTTTTAATTTACCTGTTTATTTTTTAGCCTATACAATTTTCACTTATTCCATGTTTTTTGATGAAAATAAAGTATATCAAACTTTTCACAATTCATGTTGACTCTTAGATAAATTAATGATTGAAGAAGAAATTAAATTTTCTGCTACTATGCAATAATATAGCTCTTGTTTGTAATAATTTGATGAATAAATTTCCAAAGCTAAAAAAATTAACATTGTCAGCTAATTAATGACAGAATTTCAGGTGATAAACGAGATGTTTGCTGATTAATGATTTATCTCTAATAAATAAATTGTTTTTCAACAACTCACAGGTCATTCTAATTTATGCTTTAAAATGAAATGAAAACATGAAAAATTTATGAGTAAGAGTATTTACAGCAGAATTTTTTACCCATTTCCTTCAGTATGTTGGCAATTTTACATCAAACTGCATTAAGCATTTCCTTTATCTTAGACGTCACTTAAGATTAGTCTTATTTTTGTGTTTTTAAATTACCCAAATATAATCACTTTTTTATTCATACTCACAGTTATCACCTTTCTTTTTTTCTTATCAAAGCAAATATATATTTGCTAAATAAACTTTTGATATCATTTTCATTGTGCTAAAAGGTAGTTATTATTTATTTATTTATTTATTTATTTATTGTTACGGAATTGATCAAATTTTATTGCTTTAATTGCAGAATTGATGAATTGCATAGAAACATGTGCTTATTTCACTACGTTATAGCCTTTGATACATTTCTTATAGAATCAGAAAGATAGAAAGCTTACAAATAAATCATCAGGGGCAGGTGTGTTTACTTCAGCTTTTTAATTTGCAGGACAAGTGTAAATTCATCAGTAATATTACTGAATGCATGGAGTGTTTCAGAGCAAATTAACAGAGCGCACATTTAAAAGCAAACAAATATATAAATAATTCAATGTACTTACTTATGCTCATTGAGTAAAAAAGTGATTGCTTGAGATCTGTTTCTTTATTTCAAGTCATTTTCAACGTATAAGCTTCCTCACTTTATTTTCCAAAATTTTCTTTTCATTTTCATAATTAAAAATTTTGTCTATTTAAATTAAAATACAATTTAAGAAACTGAAGTAAATAGTTAAAAGTCAGAATTTATACAATTCTATGCAATTATTTTTACACCACAGCTGCTCGTGCAAATGTCATCTACATTAAAGCTCTAAAAAGTAATGTGTCGTTAAAAATACCATTTTCTTTTTTTTTTCATTTGGAATAGATTAGAAAAATGTTTAATTTTTCACGAAACTGTCACAGTTATGCTTTCAAGCGTCTAATATCAGATAGGATTAATAATTTAGTGACGTATTTCTGCTACACTTTCAATAATTTATCATCAAATTGTTTTAAAAAAAACTTTTTCAAATATCTGATATCTTTGAATAATCAGTAGTAGGTTGGTTACACATATCTTATAAACAACTTACCGTTATTTAAATTTCACTTCCTCACTCACACATTTGTGAAATTGTCATTGATCTTACTGACAAATTAAATTATAAATAAAATACAATCAATGTTTTTGAAAGTAGCAAAAATTGCACTAAGATTCAAAGCTTCAATATATGATATTACTGCTTACATAGGAAATAGATTTTTTAGGAACAGAAGAAACATTTAGGATGTAGTGTTTACTTTGTCGTATTCTAAAGTAAATCCTCTAAGTAAACCCAATTAAAGAGGATATACTTTAGAATACTTCATTTAAACAGATTATTACTTAAATTTGAGTAGTTATGAGCTGCTAATTTATTAATTGCAAACAACAGAATCAGCATTTCTACATTTCACTAATATTTTCTGACTAAATTTATTGATCGACTCATATTTCTTCTGAGCTTGTAAAAACTTTTATAAATTCATGCTCGTTCTTGAGATATTTAAGACAATCAGAATGTTATTGAATTCTCAAATATGTAAAAACTATTTTTCGCAAAATACTTATCATTCAGTATCATTTTATATTCTTCATTGCATAGATTAACTTGACAAAGTATTTGATATGTCATCGCATCTCGACAAAATTTCATTTGTAATATACAAATTTGCTCATTACATACTTTTTACAATAGACTGTAGTTAATATGAAACAAAATATTTTCAAGGAAAATGGCTGTGCATGTAAAGATTTCAGAAT